CATCAAATGAAATCACCTTCTGCTGAATTTGAGACAGATTTCCCAGAACAGTCCAAGCTGCTTTATGAGACTGATGTTCTGCAGCCGTTTGCTCAGGATACATTTGCCTTTTTTCAAGTGCTTCCTTCAAATCAATGTACGTTATAAGAGTTTGAACTTCAATTACTGCTCTTCTCCTGGCTTCTCTAATACAGGGGTTTTTTCCTGGACTCACTTCGTCTAAGTGGGCAATTAACCCCTGCAATTCTGCTTTGGACCCCAGATACAAATCAGAAGCATTCTCTGTTTTTAAAAGTAAGGAATTAACTTCCTTCATCTTCTTGCGGATCTCTTCTATTTTTAGAATGGACTGATTTTGTGCCAAATCATAAGCGTGAGTAGAATTTGCTTCTTCTTCCAAGTCCAGGTATTTCTGCAATTTATTGATCTCTTCCACTACTTCCTTTCTGTAATTTCTTATTTCCGTGTGACCGCAGACATCTAAAGCATCCAAATCAGCAATGAGACCTGTAAGCACACAGGACAGATGCCTGCAGGTATCATTACTACTCACTCCCATTAGAAGCGCAATAAGAGTTCCTCTTGCTTTGTTCACATCACACATTACAGAGTTAATTTTGGAGACAGAAGGATGTGCATCATTAGAGAGTGGCAGGGACAGCTGTTGCTTTACACAGCTTTCTATGATCTCCTGAACAGCACATACCTTTGTCAGAGTGCGATATCTTGCTTTGCGTAAAGAAACTTTCCCTCCAGTTTTCACCTGGGTAAGCCTCAGTACAATGTCCTGAATACCTTCTTCAAATTCATCACTTATACAGTTACCTCCTTTGTAAAAAGGTGTAATCTCGCGCTCCACAAGTGACTGCGCCTCCTTGAATATAGCCTCTATTTCCAGTCTGCGCGGATGGTTTGCATTTTGTTCCAGCTCCTTCAGCAGCCTCTCTGTTTCCTGAGCAGCTCGCTTTCTGGCTTGCTGAATGTCCCCCTTTCCCTCAGTGTCTACAGAATCTATTTCAAAAAGCTGTTTGGTAAGACTCCTTTCTAATTTCTTGTAATCTCGATCCGTAGACAGCCCGCTGAAGACCACCACTTGCTGTTCAATCTCTTTGACTTCTTTCTGTATTTCATGCAACCGTTTTATGGATGGGTGTTGGTTACCCATATCCATTCTCTTCTTTCATCCAGTTTCAGATGAACTGCAAAGAAAGCGAGAGCGAGACCTGCGATCAATAAAGCGCCACGCAAGCACGGCACAACTTTCGCGACGTCCTGAAGCACTTCACCCTTACGGCTATCTTAAAGCGAGACCTGCGATCAATAAAGCGCCACGCAAGCACGGCACAACTTTCGCGACGTCCTGAAGCACTTCACCCTTACGGCTATCTTAAACATCGCCAGCCACGGGAATAAACCACCCGGCGGGTATTCCCCGGCCGTTCCTCCGTTGTTTCCCACCTCCTTCTCCCCCTCGGGCTGCAGGGGTGATGCTCCAGTCACCGCACCACCAGCTCGC